TAACACCCCATAAATAATTTTATGAAAAACTCTAGAAATTGAGACCATCGGTTTTAGTGATTACAATAGTTAAAAGCACAAGGCTTTGAAGAATGCAAATCATGTTTTTTTTTTGTTTTTTTTATTTGGCCAACGTACCTGAAAATCAGCTGTGAATTGTAACATACAAAACTCAATAAAACAAATATATTATTTAGTTTCAAATGCTTTTATTTGTTTTAATTTGTTTTTATGAATATAGACAACATTTGGGGGTGACAATATTTTCTGAAAGCAAAAAATTTTTTCAATGAAAATTGAATTTTAAATACAATTATTTCTTATTTCTTTAATTTTAAAAAGATTTTAAAAAATTTTTTAAATTGAATTTTGAAAAATATTTTAACATTAGTTAAAAGCAACATCAACCTTTCAAAATGTCCATGTGAGATTGTCATTGTCTAGCGCTTTGAAAATTGTATAATTTGGACCAATCAGATTAGCCATGGTAATTAAGAAATGTAATTTTTGTGTTTATAGTCGGACAGTAATTATCAAGTTCGGAAGACCAACCAGAATACAATTTAGTTGCATTATTTGAGTTCAGCATTGTTCTCCGCTGTTAAGCCCTTTACTTTTAAAAACACGTATGGAGAAGTTAATTTGAGTTTTCAATTTCAACTGAGAAGGGTACCTACAAGTAACAGTATCATCTTATGAAATTTAACTACTGCTAAACTTTAATTTATATGATCTTATTTTTATATTAATCTCAGTTATGACATTTTTCCATAAATGAAATATCAAAATTAATAATAAAATGAATGGAAATACAAATAACACAGTAAAATGTAATAAATGTACATAAAATTATAGTATTTTATGTACACTTCTGATAAAATTTCATAATTTCGTAATTTTATGTAGTCCTGTGAAGTTTTGTTGAAATCGGCTAAAAAATGTAGGAAATTCGATCCAATATATAAACGTTACAGACACACACATACACACACACACACACACACAATCTGCGTTTTATAATAAGTAAGATGACTAAAAAAACACTTTTCTTTAGCTTGTAAAAAAGACAGATTTCTGAGATTTGTCATTTTGACTTTCATGTATTAAGAAAAAGGGTGTGTGGGCAGCCCAATTTAGGACTTTTCAAGGAGATTTTGGACTGTTGCTGTTTTTCCAGGACTTTTCTATCCCTGGGAAAGGCCCTGTCAATTTTTCAGGACTTTTCAATGTTTCCAGGACTTATACGAATCCTGGTACTATTTTCTAAAAACCTCACATCACTGAGAACTGACTAACCCAGTTGTATCAACTGATGTACACACATTTAATGTATTTATATCACGGAAACTTCTAGTAAAAAGTCTTTAAAAAATTTCTTCTTTAATTAAAATGAATGTAACTTTAGTTATTGCAAATTAAAACACTTTCAAATTCTCTATATTAAAATTATATTTAGACAAGCAAAAAAAGAAAGAATTAAATATGAAACAATTGGCAAACTAACTTTCAGTAACTGTTTATGAAGAATTATGACTGCATTTATTTATTGTTTTAATAGAAAGTGCATTTAAAATTTTAATCTCTTTCAAGATATTCAAGTGCAGAAAATAACTGAAGGAACTCAAGAGACTATAAGTGTAAAAGACTCTAAAAACTTCTACAATATGAGATGATGAATTCAATTTAGGTTTTACCTACGTTATTCTACTTGTATCTGACTGCAATGTGTCACAAACTCCTTCCAGACAATCCAGAAGTTGATATCAGATATCGGTATGATGGAGGACTTTTCAATCTTTGTAGACTTTGATCTAAAGTCTAACTATTATACAGGAATAAAGTATCACTGCTGACACTTGAGTTTGAACATAGATCGCCGGAGAACAAACACAGGTGATCCCATTATTGAATTAAGTGGACCACATGACCATAGAGGAAACGTATATATGGGAGGCAGCATGTGTCTAATCAATTGCTATTTTTAGTCTATCCTCTATTACTATTTGGATCACCATTTCTGCTCTGTCCTCTATTGCTATACGAACCGCTATTCCCTATACTATTTCATTATATGGATTGCTGTTCAAGCGAGTATTATCGAGCAAGTACCGTTAATGCAAGTGCTATTCGAAGACATCTGACACCAGCATTGCTCAACAGCGTACTATAGTTGTATCTGTGATTACAAAGTCTCTACTACAGATTTTGATATTACCATCTGTAATACACTCCTAGAACAAGTAGAGAATTTTCCATATCTAGGCAACCTTTTATCAAACCAGTGCACCTCAGAAGTGGAGCTGCACATGGGATATTTGGAAAGTCAACAACAAATATCTGAACTTAACAACAAAAATTATCATCTATAATGCTGTTGTCATTTCAACTTTGCTAAACCTGGACTCTATATCATCTCAACATCCAAAAATTAAAATGCTTTCACCAGCAAAAGTTTTGTTCAATCTTGAACATCAAAATGGAATTACTATGTGACCAACACTGAAGTCCTAAAAATAGCCAACAGTCAAAGCATTGAATCGCTGATCATTAAACACCATCTTTGACATGTAGCAAGAATGAAAGAATCAATGTTTCTAACCTAAGTCTTATTCAGTGAGGTCACTTCAGAGAAAAGACCACAGGGTTGCCCTCTTCAAAGATATAAGGACTAACTCAAAACACTGATAGCCACTGGACTTGAGTCTAAATTGTTTGAAACACAAGTCTAAGACCATACCCACACTGGTGATGTTCTATCACCATTGGAAGCAAAAACTTTGAAACAACCAGAAGAGAAAAAAAAGAAGTCAAACAACACGAGAGAAAGGCTTGACAAACTCGACTTTGTCCTCCACCAATATTACCAATGTCATCAATGCCATTGGTTCTTCCAGGCAAGAATTGGTCTACTTAGTCATCAACGCCATCATCATAAAGGAAACAATCAGTAAAGAAGAAATTAAATTCTTGGATACAAGATATGATGACAACGAAGAAATCTTTCACACTGTTGTCTCTGGGAGTTGGTTGGTTGCTTTTGTTTAGTGGCATATCAAACTCTATGGGTCATTTAATGCTGAAATCGAAATATTTTGTACACATTTTTTTTTTTTGAGATAATAATGGTTTTAGTGATACAAGTCTTACTAATTAACCCCTAGCTGGGGGGAGAAGAGGTGGATTCATACCTTTCCCAAGGGTATTTGCACATGAATTAATATAATGCAGCCAACTGGAATTGGAACCCGACTCTCCAATTAACAAGTCATTATACATTGCACTACCCAAACATCCAAGCTTACAGCACTTGGTTTTCCCAAGTGGTCACCCATTTAGGTACCGACCAGGCTTGACATTGATTAACTTTGGTGATTGTACAGGAATTGGTGTTTCAATGTGATATGGTGGTAAGCCACCTCTGGGAAAAAATGATATATAAATTTTTACATACCAGAACATTATTCCTTGTTTACTTTTTTTTCACATAGATAACTATCACAACTATTAATTTGGAAAACAATTGTGAAGAATTTATCTAAGTTCAACATAAAATTTATTTACTAATTTTATGAAAACTCAAAAACTATTTCTAAAACAATGAAAATGACCTGTTTACACTATTTGAAATATTTGGACTATTGTCCTCATCTATTTTTATTTGTTTTTATTTGTTTTATGAAATGGACAATATTTTCTGAAAGCAATGTTGAATTTTGCCCTCCGAAATTTTAACCTTTTTCTATTTTTAAAAAGTTGTATAAATAACAGCACCATCTGGGTCACCTGTCATTGTCTAGGATTTGAGTTCAATCCTTGGGCTGGGCAGTGTGTACTTGCACTCAGTGGAAATGGGCAAGCAATAACTGAACAGTACTAAATAAGAACTAGACAAGATATCCTTAAACAGGAGCAGTGGAACAAGAACAGTCTACCCCTTTTGGGTTTTGGTTGGTCGGCAACTTTTTATAGAGATTAAATAAAGGGTTCAGTTCAGAATTCCCTGTTGGTTACCTAGATCAGATCATCTAATATACACCTTCATGAATGGAAGGTCAGAGAAATGGCACAATAGATAGAAACATGTTTTAAGTTCCAGTAATAAAATAACAAAATAGTCTGAATATAAATAGTGTAAATAATGATAATTCCTCATCTCAGAAATTCAGAAAACAATAAAAGACTTAATACAAAACAAAATAATAACAGCCTAAAACCTGAAGCTGATCACCTGTAATGACTGCCACAAGAAATACATAGGAGAGACCTCAAAGAATTTAAATAAAAGATTATATGAAGACAAAAGGGATCTTTTACAAAACAACACACAATGCATTTGTTGGTCACTATAATGAGTCTGGCCATAATTTCAATTTAAAATGCTACTTTAATTAAAAGAGAAAGCAATTTACTAAGGTGAAAGTATATAGAAAGTGCTTTAATTGCCAAGTCATCCACAGTAAATTTTTGTCCAGGTTTATGCAACATTTCAACTTTCTTGGCAGATCTTCTATTATCACGTCAAATATTTAATAATAAAAGTGATAAAAACAAACAAAAAGAAACTAAATAAAATTGGCTAGACTATAGACCCAAACATATCTTAAAAAAAAAAATTCTAAAAGTTCAATGTCCCCTCCCCTTCATGTACATGTAGTTACATTAACATAAACATCACTTTAGTCCAATGAAGGCCTAAAGGACAAAACATGTCATTCAAAAAAATTTTTTTCCAATTTGTCATTAATATTCCTAACATTGTTGTCTCTGTAGCACGAAGAAGAAAACTCAAATAAATAGAAGGTTGTTGTGTGAAACTTTGTACAAGTTTTTTCTTTTTGACAGATATTCAACTTTGGGATTTGCCAATGTATTGAATGAAGAGTGGTATCAGATGACATGGAGAGAGAGAGAGATCAGAACTCACCTTGTACAACTCAAACACTTTATAGAAAGCCATCAATAAATTTACAAATGTCTTTAATTAGTAATTGGTGTCTTACTTTGTGTATCAAAAAGTTGTCATCTTCGTCATCATTATCCCATTTGCTGGGTACTGGAGGTGGGGTAACTTTAGGGCCAGTAGCTGCATCAATCCAAGAGAAAGTCAAAGGATTCTCTTCATGACCATGTTCACAGAGCAAAACCTTTTGCTGATGAAAAGAAAAATGTAAAAAAGAAAAAAGTTATAATCCCCACCAAATATTTTTAAACCTTGAAAAACATTTTAATTATTTTTCTTCATTTTTATAATTTTTCTTTTCTGTGGTTAAAATAATTTTCTTTCCTTTTTAGCAATTGTTTAAGATAAAGCATTGTTAGTGGTAAATGATCAAAATGGATTTAAACTTGTACAGAAATTTTATTTAATTTTCTCGAAAAATTATTTGTTATTTTCAATATTCTCTTTTACTTCAGATCTGAGTGCAAACAAAAAATCAGTTTATAATTTTAAATTATAATACAAAAAGAAAACCAACAAAGTCACTTTTTATTGTAGATGTCATAATTTAGTGCTTGTAACTTTGCAGGTTAAAAAAACGAAGCAGATTTTTTTGTAAGATTTGGTTTCAAAAAAAAACTTGGAAAAAGTTTTAATGTTTGTTTCAAACTCCCAGTGTTTGTTTATTCATTCTGGATAGTTTGAAAATATTTTTTGCATAAGGGTCATGTAGTAAATAACTGATGTGAAATATCTGACAAAGTATATAAAAATGGAATATGTCAAAACCAGTTGGATGTTGAACTTTTTTTTTTATTTAAGTGCTAATCCATTGCCTGTTTACATTTTCAAAACATAAACAAATTACATTTTTTCTTCTAATTTCACTGTAATATACAGTTTGGGCAATAAAAAAAAATTATGTTTAAAAAAATTAAAAAACATTTTTAGTATAAATTGTTGATATATATAATAATGTAGTAATATGATTTCTCACACATCCTCAGGAGATAAATAGATAAATTCTCTTTCCTTTTAAGTCAATTTAATGACCAGAGTTTCTTTGAAATCTTGTCTCTCGTCTATTTTTGAGTCAATTTAATGACCAGGATTTTTCAGGAATCCTGTCTCCAGCCGCCTTCAAATTGGCAAACATAAAATTTTGTTAGTGGTTTTAGATAATCATAAAAGTAGAGTCCTTTGAAAAACTGATCACCCAAAAGCTGAATGGGTGGTCTCTTTTGTGTAACACAAGTAGACGGATAGGGGTGGTGGGACCCCAACCAGTATCTGTATAATGAATCAGTCAGTCAGGAAGTCAGCAGAGAGTAAGGAAAGGACTGGAAGTGTGTAAGCCAGCTGTCACTGAGACAGTGGGGGAGTGAGTGTAAGGGTCAGTGAGACAAACCTATGAACATAGAAAGCCGAGTGTATACGTATACAACCAACCTTGGATGTCATCAAAGCTTGTGCAGTAACACGTAGAAGTGCATTGTCACAATACAAAACAACTTGTCAGTCAGGATGATGGTGCCTTATTTACAGTCATTTATTTGTACAAACATTGAATAATCTTATTTCATCTTTGAAGAAAAAAAAAGACCCCAAGACAATAGGTAAATAATGTCAAGATGACCTCAGTTTCGATAGAAAAATGTCATAATTCGCATTCTTGTTAACAAATAAAAGGTAGGAATTCATTCTGAACAATGTATTTAAGCTAAGTGATGTTACAATCTGTTTTATCTCTTTCTGATTCAGTAACACATCAACAAAAAACCTGTTAGCTGGATATAACTGTTAAGAAAGCAAACCAAAAATAAAAAAAAATTGCCCTCTACACATGAGCTCTGAGCATCACATCCAGCTCACAAAACACAAATTCAACATCAATAACCTTGGTCAACTGACCTGACCAGGTCCTATTGACTCTCCTTTTCCTCCAAGTTGCTTCCCTCACCCGCAAAGAGACATTCCGCCTTGATACTCATCAATACTAAGAATTTTATCTCAACAATTCTTGTTTTCTTTTATGTTTGCCTCACTAGCGATATTTGTTGTTTTGTTTGTTCTCTCATGCTACCATACACACATTCATAATGGTGACAATAACTTTTTTTAAAAAATATTATTTATAATACAATGTTTTACTTGAATTATTCTATTCAAAATGCATATTGTTTAAAGAGAGAAAAAAATAAAAACTAATAATTTGGTGAAAAAAATAGCAAAAACATTAATCCCCATTTTGAAATTTAGTGATGCCAACATGTGTGGGAGTGTGGATACATCATTACTAAAATATTTTTCTATTTGGAAGCAATTTTGTTTATATTACCAGAAATAGATCTTGAGAACATGTACTCAATCACCAAATGCAGTTATTAATAAAATAAATTGAAATTCATGGTTTCAGTGCATTAAATTAATTAATCTGGATTTAGAAGATTAATAATAATGAAGAAAAAAGTCAGAAAACCTAACTTTAATATTTATTCTAATGAAACCTAACTTTAATATTTAGACCTTCTCTTCTTGTGACAATTACAAATTTTGTATTCATCATAGACAATGTGTATCATTGTGTTCCTTCTGCCTGGAAGTGAAGTTTGTACTAAGTTGAATGCTTAGACCAATATTTCCCAACTTGGGCCATTTCAACTATTGGGTGGGTAATGAGCAATTGAACAGTAAATGGTGGGCAAGTGGAAATTTTGGTGAATGACATACAATTTTGATTAAAAAGGTATTTCAATATATTCAGTATTTCAATATATACAACCCCTCCGATTATCTAAAGGCGATATGTGAAGAACCTGTATAAAAAAAAAAAATAGGAAGCTCAATAGGAATAATCTTAAATAAGATATAAGTTTCCCTGCAAACAGTGAATATTTCCTCTATAGTTTCCCATGCTCAAGTTTGCTCTTGTTTGTTCTTTAATATGATAGTAGCAGCAGCAGCAGCCACTGCATGTCAGCACTATTTGTTACCTCCCTTTGGTATATTTTTATATCATAAAGTCAGGTTATGATCTCATAACAAACTTTTGCCAAACAAATTTAGTATACTTTTAAATATTTTCTATACAGGTGAGCAGTGTAAAATTTTTCCATGTGAAAGGTTGGGAACTGTTGACTTAGACAATGACAGCCACAAAAAATACTGATGATAAGATAGGGTAAAAAATTTGGTTAAAATAGAAAAGAAATTTGTGATTAATAAGAAAAATGGATATTTGCTGTAGACATCTATATAAGATAATGTTTTCATTCATAGAAGAAAAGGAAATATTTTAAAAATAATCCATGCAAAGAGGTATTCCTCTAAGAGTTCAGTTTATTTCTTTCAAGATAACTTAGTAAAAAAAGCAAAGAGCCCTTACTGCAATGGTTGTGGTTGGAAACTCTACAATAGCTGATCCATTTTTTTTACTTGAAACAACCAGGGCCGTCACTTCACCATACTGTGAAAAAGAGAAAAATCGAGACAACCATGAATGAAATTAAAAACTAATGACAGTTATATCTCGATAACAGAAATTATCATAAAAACACTTTTTTAAACAGATAATCTTATGTGTATACATCTCTCATATACTCGTATAATAGCCGTCTATTAGGGAAGGTCGATTTCTTTTCACTTTTTAGAAAATCAACATTGCATAATAACATTGATTCATAAATTTTACCAATTTCGGAGCATTTAGTTTTAAAGTTCATCAGAAAAAAAAAGAAATGCCTTATTTCCACAGGTTTTTGCTAGAGGCTGACTTTAAAAAAATTCAAAATTACTATTTCAAGAATAAATCCAAATGTTAATATCTTAGAAATATTGAATGGAAAATATATTCAAACCAGAATTTTAATTATGAATTGCCACAAGCAAAATATGCTGTTTTTTTTTTTTTTACTGTATTTAATAAGTAAAAACTATGTAAAAAAAATATTTGTAAAATATTACAAAAACAGCTACTCAATGAATAAGATTTGTTAGATCATGACTAATAAAAAATAGATAAAAGTGTATATAACACCATAATAATGCTGGGCACAAATTATAAGACATTTTATAAAAGTTTGCATTGTTTATTGAAAATCACGCTAAAACTACTGCACTGTATAACATATTACATCATAATATAGCTAAATTGTTCAGTATAATTTCCCTTTGAAGTAAATGAAGGTCATATTTGATTACACAATGATTTAGTAATAATGTGGTTGTGTCATGCATCTTGTCCATATACAATTTGTGAAGCTTTAGTAAATTATAAATTTTGTAAGGCTGTGCTTTAAGGCTTTCACTGGTCACCGAAATGGAATTCCAATGATACGATTTTAAACGTAAACTTAATCTTTAAACTAGACTCCTCAAAAAATATTTTTTGTCATTATTTATTATGTCAAACATTAACATGAGTGCAATATCACAGTTCCAGAATCAACTTGTACTACTGTTTATTTCACACTGAGCACAGTTTTAAAGCCAATGCTAAGAGAAAAGTTTGTTCAGTATCTGTCTATATTTCTGAGATGAGGTATTATGTACACTATTTACATAATTCGGACTATTGTGCTCATCTTTGTCGCCATATTTATTACAACGTTTCAGCCGTTGTACACTCCGGCCTTCTTTAGGTGGTTGTTGTGTCGAACTGAACCCTTTATTTCGCTCGATGGGGTAGACTGTTCTAGTTCCATGTGCCATGTTTAATGGATGGCAGTTTTCAGTTATCTCCTGTTAATTCCCTTCTCCAAGTTCTCCACTGCCTTAACCAGGTATTGAACTCACACACTTTGGGTCCTGTCACTGGATCTAACTAACGTCTTAATCCACTGTGCCATGTGTCCTTGAGGATAAAGGCGTTAATTAAATCAGTCTACCTCAGTGAGTGAAATAAAGGGATCAGTTCGACATTCCAACCACCTGAAGAAGGCCGGAGCGTACATTGGCCGAAACATTGTAATAAATATGGCTACAAAGATGAGGACAATAGTCCAAATAATGTAAATAGTGTAGCAAGTTTGTTGTTATCATAAATAACATTATTGTATTACTATTATTTATTCTGTCTATATTTCTGACATGAGATATTGTTACTAAACTGAAATTGAGGTATCCAAAAGAGGCATGACACATGGAATTAGAACAATCTACCCTTGTGGACTAAATAAAGGGTTTGGTACAAAATTCCAACATATATCACCTGAAGAAGGCTGGAGTGTACAATGGCTGAAATGTCATGAACATGGCAATAAAGATGAGGACAACAGTCTGAACGATGTAAATAGTGTAAATATTATTTATTCCATCACTGGCAGGCTACTACTCATTCCCGATACACACCTGTCTGCCAGGTAAGCTAGCAAATTTCTACTACAGATGCTTGCTCAACCCACAGAGCCCACCTGTGGTTTATATTGCAACTATGCTGAACAAACCTTAGTTATAGTTTCTGGAGGTGTTCAAATCAAGAAGCCATTTCTTGTTTCCCCAGTTGACAATAAATCAAAGTTCATTTTTAAGATCAGCTACCAGTTTGACTTACCATTAGGACAAGAGTAAATAGTTGCATCATCAGCATATTGTAGAAAAAACAAAATGAACAGTTACAAATTTACACAGCTACACTTCGAAAGTAGCAAATACAAATAGTCATAAATTCACTTTTTCCGTGAGCAGCTTTTTTCCACCTCATCTTGTTCACTACCACTGACTTTATATGTGTTTGCAGGAAGGTACGCTAATCTGTAGACAACACATCTGTGCTATTCAATCAACTGTTTTCTGTTATAACTGACACAATGGGTTTGTGTTGCTTTCAATCTTATTGGGAATGACTACAAAACACTTACCCCTCCCAAATTTATAAGCAGAGAAGTGCACAAAAGCATGCTGGGATTTTTTCCCAGTCAATAAAATAGGTTAGTTCTCAGTTTCATCTACCTCAGTCCCAGTCTGTTTTGTCTTGAAGTCAGAACACTATGTTTGCTTGTCCAAACTTGCTTTTGTGTGCCAACTCTAATTCTTAGTTTGTGAACTTTTTGCTATATTACAGTTGCTTCACCTTATTACTGTTAATTTGCCTTGCATATATCGTTTGCTTGCTTTATATTTTTTTTTTTTTGCTCTGCTCTTTTCTTTTTCTTGTTACTTACTTTGTTAATTCTGTTTATTGGTCAGTTCTCTTACTTATTTTGCATTTAACCATGGCTAGCCAGTTTGTCCCTCTTTTTCTTTACATGGAGCCAATGACATCAGCAAAGCAGATGCCCTCAACTTTTTGAAGGTAAGTGGATTTCTTCTGCATGTATATATACCAAGCTGAAGATTTCCTGCTTTATTGCATGAATACACATTTCTGATTGGTTCAAATCAACCTGACGACAATGGAATTTTGTCCCTTTTCGCATTTATCAATGAATTACATAATCAGGTAATTCCAATCTAAAAGTGAAATTCTTATTTTCAATGTGATCTGACTCTGGCTGATTCCACTTTTGGAATATTTCCCTACTTTCCAAACAATCTGGCTATGAAGTAATTCTTCAATTACTTTTCTTGTACTTTTGTAATTGGGTAAATGTCAATGACTTTAGCTTCATTAAAAGTCAAATCTAAGGAAAAGAATGCTGTTTAATTACATTGTAGGGATACATAAGCTGCTTATCTCCCTTTTGTGAAAATAAGTTACGTGAGTTACATGACGGCTGCTTAATGAGTTCACTCCATATAGCAATGAAAGCACCAGTCATTTTCAGTTTGTTTACAGCAGTCACCATGTCTTTTAACCTGAGCCAAGGGATGCAGGCTGAGGGTAAATCTTCCTCCCTCAGCAGCTTACAAGTCCGGGGTGGTATTTCCCTTTGGGAATATATCTTTCCCAGATATAGAATGAAACTCCAGCTTGCAGTCCTCAATTTGGGAAAACCCAAGACTCGCTGTTTCCCGTCCATGGAATATGTCAATATGTCCTCATCTGGGACATAGATGAATCCAGCCCATTTGAACCTTGAGTCTTAAACATGGCTTCTTCAGATATAGGAGTATCTTTATATTATATGTAAGACCCTTTCTTTTTGTTTCTCCTTATACTCTGTAGATATATGTGATATATTATTTTTTTTTTTTTTAAGCATTACGCCCCCGAGCAAGGCGTGAAGCCACTAGGATGCAGGGGGTTGCAGAATATTAGGAGCAAGAGCAGATAGGAGTAATAGAAGAAAGGATGAGGAGAGGGATAGTGGATAGATCAAGGTAACTGGAGATGTCGATTGACATTACATTTGAATAGTTGGAGATTATAGCTCTCAGGGAAACAGTAATTGGGAAGGGTGTTCCACAGGCGAGAGGGTGAGGTATGAAGCTATTGGAGTAGAAGAGACAGCTACATTTAAAAGTTTCTACAGTGTAAGGGTGGGAGCGGATGCCAGCCTCAGAGGGCGCTTTGAATTCATGGAGTCTGGGAACCAGTGAAAGCAGCTCATCGGACAATTACCATGAAAGTATATGTAGAAAAGACAGAGAGAGGCGACGGCGTCTGTGAGAGAGTGACTGTAGACGAGATGTCAGATCAGGGCCAATTATATTACATATCCGTCTCTGGTTCTTGTCAAGAACTCCGAGGTAAACAGAAGGTGCCCCAGACCATATATGGCAGCAATACTCCATGCAAGGGCGAATGGTTGATTTGTATATTTGAAGTATCCTCTGCGTGGGACATGTTTATATATGTATATATAGTTTTGTGTACGTCTTGATGGTATAAAAGTCTCTCTGAGAACAAAGGATGCTTGTCATTCGTTTTCCTTTCAGCCATTCCATTCTGTCTGTGAAATACAGTGTTGTTATATCAGGGATATAATAATGCCCATAATGGGGAAAACATAAATAGGAGAATAAATCTTTCTTCTGTAGGTAAATATTGGTGCCATACTGTTGAAAAAGTATTAATATTTTTTCTGTAATATCATTGGACTGTTAATAATAATAATGTTCAGTTAATCAAAAGCAAGAGAGGCTAAATCAGTCAGCTATTAGATAATTTGTTACAAGCTTAGCTAAGTTTAAAAGTAATTAATATTAAATGTCTTTTTACTACTGACCTGATAAAAGTTGCCTTTTATTGTAAGTATTGCCTCTAAAAGTTGGAATCTGAATTGAAGTAGTTCCAACAGTAGGCTGATTGCTTGTCAATCAGTGAATAATTGTAATTTTTGTAAAAAAGAATTCCATATCAATAACAGTAATACACAAAGACATTTTATTATAAAAATTAAAATTTTTTTTTATAAAATATAGCAAAGGAAACGTGTTAGATGCAAACAATTTCAACTCAAAATTTGATAACTTACTGCACTGAATATTTTTTCCAAAATTTCTAATGAATATCCACCATTAGTTTTGTCTCCCTTGGCTGCTTTCCATTTGATCTGTGGCCAGAATAAAAATGTAGAAAACAGAAAATGAAATACTTATTTACAGATGTTAATGAATAATGATTCTCTATAATTCTTATGACAAAAAAAGATTTCTTTATTATTTCTAATAATATCAGGACATTATTTTGATATCATACTGTCTTGTCTTCCAAAAGAAATACTGATGTTTAGCGATTTGGTTAGATTTTGGGAAGTGGACATTTCAGTCTCTCCTCATATTAATGAAAGCTGAATGCAAAATAAGATAAATTACCAAATTAAGAATTGTAATGAAAATAACTGAATTAATCAAGTTTGCTGTAATATTAACATATTTTTTTACAGGCATTTTAAATAGTAAATTGTGCTTATAAAAGTTTTCATATTTGATTTATAAGCTCATCAGCATATAGACTGGATAGTTTAATATTTAAGGTATGATATGACTTGAATTAAGTTCATTTTTAGTTAATTAAACAGAAATCTAAAGAGACAAGGTAGCAGAAAATTAAAAAAATAAATTTTTGTGGATTTGATCACATCAAACCCTATTTAAAAGAATTTATGCAACAAAACCTGAAAAGACCAATTGGTGAAATCATAAAAATATTTCTCATAATAAAGAAATTTAATTCTCTGATCAATGTCAACTGTAAAACATTTTTCAAGAACTACAGGGTTAGCAAATAAATCTTACGTAACATAAAATACAAAAACAATCATGTAATTACTTGGGGTAGAATTTCTAAGGGTACATATTAGAAATTGTTGGGAAATGAATAGAAAATACTTTCTCCTCTCCAATTTATAGGCAGACGCACACAAAATGTAAACTGGGATTTCTTCCTAGCCAATCAAATAGGCTAGTTCTCTGTTTCATCTGACTCAGTCCCGATCTGTCTTGTCTTGAAGTCAGAACAATATGCTTGTTAATCCAAATCTGCTCTGTGTGTCAATACCAATTCTTAGTTTGTGAACTTTTTGCCTTATTACTGTTGCTTTGTCTTGCATATATCGTTTGCTTGCTCAGTATTATTTTTTTGTCCTGTTCTTTTCTTGTTTTGTTTATTACAAACTTTGTCAGTTCTGTTTGTTGGTCAGTTCAGCTATTTACATTTAACCATGGCCACTTACTCTACAGAAATGGTCTCACATAATGTACCAATTTAGCGCACTTGGATCTTCTCTAGATTTTATTATGAAGTGTTTTGTTTACAAAGATTTACCCATTAGTTTTCTATTTAATGTTAACAAAATTCATTACTTTGCAGAAAAAAAAAATCAAAGGTGATTCACAAATAAATAACCCAAGAAATTTTTTTTAAATCTTTTTTTTTCATCAATACATTTATTATTTTCAAAGAACTGATAAGTTTAGGGATCAAATGTCATTGAATCAAACTCACCAAATAGAGAATGAAGTTGGATTGATACTAAAAACGTTGCAAGAACGAAAGAAGGAATGAAATCTGTGTTTCTTTACCTTCAGCCTGGGCAGAGCTCCAGGGACACCTACAAAAAAAAAAAAAAAAAAAAAAAAAAAAAAACATTTTTAGGATAGCATAAGAAAAAAAACAATTTTCATGAAAGAAAATGAGATCCTGTTTTATTTTTAAATCTTTAGTCATTTTGGAAAATATAAAGAATTAAAAACAAAAAATTGATTCGTTTATTAACTTTGGACAAGCAGCAGATCTCAAAATTTAACAAGTAATCAAATAACTTACAGTTAAATGACAAAATTCCATAACCTGAATATTTTAAAGAGAGAAATCATTTAATTTGGTGATGTAAGCAATCCTTAATTAGTATTACCATGGTTTGAATAGTTATATTTGTAACTTTGTACTGCTAATTTTTTTATTGACATTTATTCTTTTTCTCACACACAAAGATAAACAGATACAACAAAGCTCTCGGTTGGTTGGTTGATTTTGTTTAGCGGCATATCAACTTCTATGAGTTATTTAATGCCAAATCTAAATATTCTGTATACAATTTTTTCTTGAGATAATAATGGTTTTAGTGATACATGTGTTACTAATTAACCCATAGCTGGGGAGAGAAGAGGTGGATTTATACCTTTCCTAAGGGTATTTTCACGTAAGTGAATATAATAAATCCAGCTGGAATTGGAACTCAGCTCTCCGATTAAGTTCCAAGCCATTATCCATTACACTACCCACATATCCTAGCTTACAGCACCTGTTACTCCCAAATGGTCATCTACCTTGGTACTGGCCAGGCACCATGCTGCTTAACTTCAGTTATCAAACAGGAACTGATGTTTCAATATGAAGTGGGCATAAGCCTAAAGCTCTTGATTTTATACTTTTATTATATTCTTAATTCTACTTGTATTTTTTAAATAAATTACTTATTTATCAATATGGTGGTCATTTTTCTGCTTATATCTTAGCTGTTGGTGTGGTAGGAATTCTCCACTCTAAATTTTAATTTAAAACTACAAAAGTATGTACTGCTTTATTTGCTTAAGAAATCCAAACTGAAGACAATGATCAAGAATCTACATACTCTGAGCAGTCGATGTTTCTTGGTGTTCCTTCCTCATCTGTTCTTTGAGAAGTTGTTGTTCTTGCTCTAACAATCTGGAACCTTCTTTCTGTAAGCGTTCGATCTGGTGAGGAAGAAGAAAAAAAAAGATGCATCACTTTGCAAAAAAAAATCAAAGCTGATTCACAAATAAATGTAGTAGAAAAACACAATTTCCACATAGTTGGAGATAACAACTTAAAGACAAATTTATACAATTATTATAAAAACATGTATTTCTAACTACATACCAATTTTCATCTAGCTAAGCCACACACACATTGCTGCACTCTACTCAAAACAAATTTTAAAGAAACACAAATATACCAGAGTGCTGGCCATTATCAATGCATCCTTGCTCACTACAGATGTCTACAATTACGTCTGTGCATTTCTCTTATATAGGCTATAAGAGAAGCCAAACAGCGGAGAGAAAGCAGAAAGAGAGTGACTTCACAGACACAAGCTAACCATAGAGGCTACCCGAAAGCATGGCTGACTGCCTGTCTGACCATTAGGCTGTGAAAACAACCTCCTGTGAACACAGAAAGAGAATGGACTCCACTATCAATGCGACAAGCCCAAACTGATAGCCAACAAGCAGGCAGCGAGCTTAAACACAGTCCTTTTTCAAGCCTCATACACTGTACATTTGAACGCAACACTATATGACCAGAGACATTTTCATATCTTGTAAATGAAAATAAATCTTTGGTCATTTCTCCAAACCTGTGTCTAATTTGTTTCTTACTCCAACTTCCCCTTGGATCATAAATATCAATTGATAACTCAAGGAAAATCTTTTTAAATCTTTGTCTTTCATTAATGCATTTACTATTTTCAAAGAATTGATAAGTTTAGGAATCAAATGCCATTGAATCAAACTGATCAAATAGAGAATGAAGTTGGATTGATACTAAAAACATTGCAAGAACAAAAGACGGAATGAAATCTGTGTTTCTTTACCTTCAGCTTCCTGGACTGAGTCTTATTTGTTGTTTTGAATAGTTTAAATTAAGACAAAAATTTAATGCATCTATCTACAATCAGATGTTGCTAACCTTCTCATGCAAGAATGTTTTATTTTGCTATGGATTTTCTTCTCAAAAAAAAAAAAAAATGTCATAATTTCTAAAAGAATCTCATAAGAATCAAGTCAGCTCAAAAGATTTACTATAATTGATTTGTCTGTATTTTAAAGCAGTTTTCATTTATAATGCATTAAATAGAATATATGCATAGCACAGTGGTTATCAACAAGGGAAGTGGGATTGATATGTTGAGCTTATATTCCAACTGAAGCTGTTGAATTTACTTTCACACAAATATCCTTTGAAAAGTTATTATTATATATATTATCTTCTCCTACCCCAGCTAAGGGTTGAAATAGCAGGACAGACTGTAGTCTCTTAGTTTTGATTGAGAACTAGGAGAAGAGCTAGCAACTTCACCCCATAAAATAACCTCGTTGCTATAGAAAATATAGCAGCAAACCCTAGCAGGTGTGAAACTATGTCCCTGTACTCCACAGAGAAGACTACAGAGCTTACACACAAATCCAAACCTGGTTGATGTGAAATAATTAAATTTTAAAACTTGTTTTGTTTTTGTCTAACACAAAAGTCAGAATTACTTAATTGTTACTTTTCTTGTCATTTCTAAAAATTGAAAAACAGTGATAATGAGGGATAGGAGTTCAAGTCATGTCAGAAGCTGATTATTTTCAATTTATGTTGCCTACTTATGAAATGGCATTCTGGGAATTACGATTAGAAATCAACAATACATAAATGTTAGTAAAAAAATTAATAAAGATTCACAGAGCAAATCAATAAAAAGAAAAAGTAATGTTTGTTGAGATAAAATAAAAAATAAGCAGATAAGCTTTTAAATGAAGGAATTACTTTATCAATTTGATTTCAAATCATATCAAAATATCTGTTGATAAAAAGGCAAATCAAGTTAAATGATGCCACCATCATTTTACCTCAGCTTGCAAGTCTTTCTGAGAAAGTTCTTCTTTACTCTTCTTTTCATCATAAGCCTTTTCTCGAGCTTCTAAATCTGAAATTAAAAAAAAAAGCATGGATGGTTTCCTTGTATGTCAACACATACATGAGTCATGTAACAATCTAGAATAGTTATTTTGCATTAACAAATAATAAAGATTGATTGATTTAACAGCATATCAACTACTTACGAATCATTTAATGCCAAAATTTAATTTTTTTAGGAGCTTTGAAGGAATAAAAATATACGTTATTATGCTTTCACAATTGAATACATGGTAGATGATACCAACTTTTGTGCATATACATGTTTTTCTGGACATAATTTTTGAAACAGTGATATGTGTGTTTTATGTTGTAGTTTTGTTGAAGTTATATTTTGGAATACAATTTAAGAAATTGTAGGATATTATGTGGATTAATACTATGAATGTTCTTTTATGTTGGGTGTTTGATTTTGTTTAGTGGTATATTAACCTCTATGGGTTATTTAATGCTGAAATCTAAACAATTTGAATGTAAATGCATGCCTTCAACAACAGATAAAATGTATTGTTGGTCATTTTACTATAAATATGTATTGTTGGTCTTTCTTTTATATAAAAATGTATTGCTGGTATTTTTATACGTTCATAGTGTTTTCTTTTTGTTTTTTTTAGGGGGGGTCACTATTTGCCGGGACCCTAACAGGTGCTACCACCCAGAGTCAGGGTGGACCTGGGAACAACAGCAATTAAGAGGTGGTTCCATGCTTCACAAAACCTCCACACTCCCAATCAGAGGCCTTGCTACCAGATATAGTTTATCATCATATCCAGGACTGGCAAAGAATAAAGAGAAATTTGTGCTGTAAGCAATCAAATAATATCTTGACATAGATTGTTATGAGACAGATCAAAACTAATATTAAAATATGAGTAAAAATGCCTTGTGGGTCCATTCCATGTCAATTCACCAGGGCATTACACCCACCGACACCGAATTACTTGAAATTTGGCACAAATGTACCCCTTCATGAGTTAGGAAAGTGTGCCAAATTATTTTTTGCTAGACTTTACTGTTCCAATTTTAAGCGGGGGTATAATTTTCCTATTTTGCCTCTAAATTAAAGCCGCACAATGTTGCTGAATTTCAGGGGTTTTAAAAATCAAGAAAAATACTTCCATACCTTCAATATTTCTGAAATTTGGTATGTAGGGCAAATAAGAAGTGTAGAATCCAAATATTTAACTATTTCAAGCCTACACTTGATAGAAAATTTTATTTTACTCACCCAAATAGATGACACCAAAATTAACAACTTTTCACCTATGTAGCTTATGGCCAGTCTATTGAAAATATGTCCTCTTCAATTTTCCTAATATTTTTTGCCTAACATCTACAATGTCTGCTCAAGTTCACCAAAAAATTTTGTGAGGGTTTCAAGTCTACTTTAGAAGATATGACCCTGCCAAGTTTAGAGTTTTTTCCTACGTATGTGCAGGATTTCCGAGAAAAATTATAATTAAAGACAATCATCCTAATGCTTCATGGCCGCTAAAATGTTGATATTGTGCTAAATAACTTCTTAAACTAGTCAATAAGATTGTTTTTATTAATTTTTAAAAAAATAATTTAAATATATTTTGCACATATTACTTTTTGTACAGATAGATTGTCTTTAAAAAGTGGTAAACATTGTCTCATGTATGATAATCAACAGTGCATAGAAAATTTGTAAATGACACTTAACAAATAAAGTTAAAAGAAATTCTTTCTGTTTGTGTTTCTTTTAATTTTATTTTGGTAAATTATTTTCATGAAACAAAAAAACATTTGATTTTTTTCATTCTCATGAAAGTCGTAAGATAAATGTGAATCTTTAAAACATAATATTTGAAGTTGGCATTAAACATATTTATATAGTTGAAGGAAATGCTTTCATTACTTTTTTTAAATTTTCATTTTTATTTTTTAAATAATTTTTCAAAATTATTTTCATGAAAAATAAATATTTGAATTTTATTATGGTTGTGTTGAAATATTTGCTAATTTGGTTTGCAATAAATAGTAAATAGTGAAGGTATTTCTTGAAGAATATTTTTATTGAGAAAAGATAGCTATTCCAGTTTATTTAAAGAATTTGCAATAAGTTTACTTCAAGTTATGTAAATATTACTAAAATATATTCAAGGCAGGTGTTGACAAGTTAGAGGATGGCATTGTCCGGGGTGAGAGGGGCTCCATAATTTCATTAGCCTAAGAGCCCCAAAAGGTCATAAACCAGCTGTGAATACATGAGAAACTTTTCAAAATCTGCTCAAATTAAATTTAATGATTTTATCAAAAATTGTCGTAGGGATGACGCCTTGTTGAAGATTGTTTTCACAGGTCAGATAAGTGGTCCTTTATTTTCAAATAAATTATAAAATACAACTGATTCTATAGTGTATACCATATATAAATCTAAATGTGTTAACAGTAAAATTAGTTATATTGATGAGACATCTTGTCACTTCCATGAATGCGCAATAAATGTGGTTTTGAACAAAATGTCCTCATTTTACAAACATTTGTCAAATAACAGTTACTGTAAACAAAAATGCTTGAAATTTTTAATTATATTTCACAATTTGAAGAAAAATGCAATTAAAACTTTTTAAAAGTTTATTTCTGTTATAAACAATAAGGATGCTAGCAACAGAAATTATCATTTTTAGTTTTTGAAAACTAAATAAAATTTATACAATATATATTATATATATTTATATTTGTTATAACGTTCATATAAAGCTTGTAGTTCTGGTTAATAATATTGTATATCCTCTCACTTGTCTTCTCCTGGCTGGGAAGTCACTAAAAGTTTTGTGTCGACATGTACTAACTATCCAGTGGGGTTGTTCCCCATCCCTGGGGAGCCATTTCAGATATGAAAGAGAGCTCTCAGCCAATGAAAATAGACTTCCTTATTTTGGTTTGTGTCTGACCTCGAATGTCAAACTCCAGAAGTTGCAACTGAGATACAATTCTCCCTAAAAATAATAATCTGCTAAACTATTATTTAACAATAATAACCTTAGGAAACAGTGGAACAAAAGTTGACTGAAGAACAGTTTTAATCACAAAAGAATTATGCATTAATAATACAGTAATAGAGAATACCATTGTTCAGTGCAGCAATGTGTACAACTAAAAAATTATGCCTTATAACCCACTGTGCAACGACTGTTTCTATGAGCAGATGTCCTACTCATAGCAGATGGATGAGTCCATGTTGCACAATTAGGGTAGAAAAGGTCAGTTGTCTTTCTACATGTTAATATATAAATTCATAAATTGATAAGGCAGTATATAGATGTGGAAAATATCATTTTTTTGTCAGTTGTATTTATTTTTTTAAATGAGTTATTGCGGATTGTTATTAATTTTGACAAGAATATACTTTTGATCTTAAGTTCTTAACAGCTCCTTGCCATAGATTGACAGCCTAAGTTGTGATTAAAAGCAACATTTTTTAATTATTATTATTAAAACATGAATTCTTGTCCTAAGTTGCCAAAAAACAAGGAGTCCTGAATTAATTTGCATCTGTTTGCTAGTTGCTGTTGTAGTAAGAACAAGAGGAAAGAGAAGAAATAGCTGTATACTCTTGAAATCCCAAAATAAAATATTTCATTTCACAAATAAAAAAAACTCCAATCACTTCTTACTTATTCAATGCTGATCTCCTTTTGTGAACTTATAAGGGAGATTGAAACTCTTGTTTTGTTTCACATGAATAAGTTTTAACAATTCTACATGTATTTAAATACAATCCCCCCCCACACACACACACATCCTGCCCCAACTATAAAAAAAATGAAAGAAAAAAAAAGCCTAACCTTCTTTGAGTTTTTTCCTTTTGCTGTCAAGTTCTTTATGCCTGACTTTGGCTGCTTTTTTGGCCTTCCATACTTTGTCATAAGCAGCCTGAACAGAAAAGAAAAATATTTCTATAAATAGATATATAAATTGATATCAAATCAATACAGAAAGATTTTTTTTTAATGTTCTTTGGAAAAAGGAAAGAAAATATTTTTTTAAATTTAATTTACCTTTGCTGCAACATCAGTAAGTATTTGAAGAGCACTGGATAACTGCTGAAATTCAACAGCTGAAAAAATAAAATGAATAGTTAAGATTTTAACTATATATATATATATATATATATATATATATATATATATATATACATACACACGTTTCTTTACCATCAAATGTTATTTTTAGTGAATATCCATATTAGAGTAGATACTCAGTATTTTTTTTAAAACAGGATTTATTTTGGTTACTAGCCTGCACACTTGATAAAACATAATGAAAAAATGTTTTCTCAAGAGGGCATATTTTCTTTGAGTTTTCTCAAGCGCACAAGCCAGTAGACAAAATAAATACTGTATAAAAAAAATGGAGCATCTACTCAAATATGGGTATCCACTAAAAATAACATTTGAGATAAAAAAAAATATTTTGGATTAAAAAATAATATCCATTAATTCTTTTTATATATATATATACACACACACACACTAAAGAAAACCAACTCTGTTGGTGTGACCAACAGGCAACTTGCAAAAAGACCTAAAATCTTAGACAAAAATAAATCCCAAACAAGGAAAGTAAAAACAAAGAAAGACCAAAAGGCAAACATCTACCTACACAGTAACGTGAAGTGCTCATTGCCCAGATTATCTAGACAGAGCAAAAAATGCTTCACAATATCAACACTAAACAAAGGAGAGCCCGAATGGTTACTGGAGTTTCACACTCTTACAATGTTCAGATGGCTAGAATGCAACTGAAAAAAGGGTAGTCTAGCATTATATATCTATTGGTATGGTTTTATATATATATATATATATATGGTCGAATATTTTAATTGCCCTCATGATTAAAGTTAAAAGCCCTACATGTTATTTTTACTTATACTTTTTTCTCATGTATATTGAGCACTTTTTAATACTATTGTTTCCTGGTGTGATTCAACTCTGTCCATTAAACCATTAACCTATATATATATATATAGCGCACTAGCTTATAAGACACCCTATTGGGCAGCATTTAAGCTGTGGAGTGCTATTGATTGAGCCTTCAGCCCAACAATGACACTTTATGCATTGAGTACATATTAAATTTTATTAAACTTGACAATATTTTTCAAACAACAGTTTTCATCACAACAATGATATAATTTGTCTGTCTGGTACTTATTGCAAAGCTGATCAGGAAAGTATCTTTTTAGGAGTCTGTTCCACAACATAACAGTTCTGGAGAAGAAGCTAAGTAGAACTTCCTCCTTACCAGTGGAATCCAAAAGAAATGAAGACAAGTCAACTCTGTGTATATGGCATGGTGGGTCCTAGTTGTGAAGGTCTGAACTGATGGAACTAAGCAATGTAGCTCATCTGAATTTGTCATGAAAATGGCAAGTAGCAATGTTTCATCTCTGGAAAAGGGATTGTAGGGTGAAAAATAATTCATCACCCACAAGGCTGCATAAATGCTTTTGAACTTTGTCATGGTTGGAAAAATAGGAACTGGGCAGCTCCAGTCTAGATACGGCAGAAAGACTCAATTTTTGGTTTATTCTTAACAATATTAATAAAGTCATCTAAAAAAAAAGTTAACATGAAATTGTTTATTAGACTAAACTGGAAATAACTGTGCAACTTATAAGAATAAGGAATACATCATTGGACATAATTTATAAAAGAATACTTTGTGTTTAACAGAGCAACAGAATTGGGTTGGTGGATTTTATAACATATCCACTATTTTGGGGTTATTTTATGTCGAAATCAATTTTTGTTTTCAAACTGTACTCCAGTCTATAGGTAAAAATTGGTTATTTATGGTTGTTTCTATAAGCATGTATTTGGTTTGGGGATAGGTAAATATTGGTTATTTACATTTGAGTCTTGTTAAGTGGCCCTTTAGAAGGGATCTTACTCCTCTGCAGGGGAGACAGTGTATCCTAAACTCCACTGACAGAGCAAAATAATAATTTTTAAAAATATATATATATATATATATATATATATATATATATATATATATATATGTGTGTGTGTGTGTGTGTGTGTGTGCATTTGGGCAGCAATTCCCTCTTTTATACTAGTTTCATTATAACAACTGACAAGGTACTACATTTAAGTTTTTTATTTAATTTTTCGTGTCCTTATAATTTTCTTCTTTACTGGACAAATTATGCGAAATTCTCCAAATATTCTGTATGTCAGAGTGCTTTTCACAAGTTTTAATCATTATCAAGGATGACTTTATTTTTTACTTGTAACTGAATGTATGGATTGTTTTATGTATGTATCTAGAGATATTGGAATGTTTTATTTTCCAAACATGGACAGCACATTTTAATGAAACTATATATATATATATATATATATATATATATAAAAGTGAACATAGAAGTCAACACTTAGAGGCGACATATAGCACATCTTAAGACTATATTTCTTCATATATATATATATATATATATTTTAGGAATTGGATTAAATCCAACATATTGTTATTTTTAATCTTATTTAAACATTATTTTGATGGATACTCATATTGAAGTAGAAGCCCTGTTTTTTAAATAAACAGTATTTTTTTATTCAACTACATCTGAATATTTGAGAAATCATGTCAGAAAAATATATGTCCAACAGCAGGTTTCGAACCTGCATACCCTATGGGAAATTGTCATTGGATCAGATGTGCCTAACCACTTGGCTACATAGGACTTCCAGTCAAAATAGTTGGATAAAAAATACTGTTTAATTAAAAGAACAGAGCTTCTACTTGAATATGAGTATCCATCAAAAATAACATTTAAACAGAATAAATTAAAAATAACAATGTTGGATTTAATCCATTTCCTTAAAAGAAATTGTCTTTGTTTACATTAGAATACGATACAAAGCCGGTATGGATGTTTGGAGAATTGGTAGAGAAGCGTGCATTCAAAAGGCACTATTTGGGCTTTGTTTGACTGGAAGTCCTACGTGACCAAGTGGTTAAGCACATCAGATCCAATGATGATTCCCCATAGGCGATGCAGGTTTGAATCCTGCTAGAGGACATATTTTTCTGACAAAATTTCTTGAATATTCAGGCCAGTAGATGTAGTTGGATAAAAAATAATGTTTAATTAAAAATACAGCTTCTACTCAAATATAAGTATTCATCAAAAACAATGTTTAAACAAAATAAATTAAAAATAACACACACACACACACACACATATATATATATATATATGTATAATGCAAAGAACAAGTCTAAACTTGCTAAACACAGGATGGGATATATAGTATCAATCTAGAAAACACAGGACAAACAAATGACCAAAATAAATTTGTTTGTCAGCAGTTTAATACAACTTTTAAAAGCTTTTCTGGTTTCAATGAGCCCATGAACAGTGACAGCAGATGTATAGTTATGGTGCAGGGATAGTTATCCTCATAACCAAATGGACATTTGCCACTATATATTTTTTCTAGAGATTATAATATTGGGTAGCAGCATTTTTAATGTGCATTAACTTTTGAAATAATTAAGAAATTAAACTTTGCTGAATGGTATTTAAATATGACATTTCATGATTTAAAATGATCAGAAAATAGACAAGTAGACTTGGTAGAGAATATCAACTCTAGTCTTCTTCACAAGTTTAGAGAACAATCATTATTGAGAAACTTCCATCCCCCCCGTGTTTCTTACCTGCATTTGCATTATCAGGGTTCTTATCAGGATGGCATTTCAAGGCCTTTTTTCGATAAGCTGATACGATCTATAAAGGAAAAGTGAAAGATAAGTTGAAGAAGAAAACAGCCCTAATTTATCTCCCTTTAATATAATCAGATATTTTCCATTTTGTACACAATAGGATGTGATTATTGAATCAAATTTATATGGTAGCTTTTAAGTGAAATTAAAACAACTAAAGAACAAAACCGTATTCTATTATAATAATACTTATTGATTTCTTTATAAACTATTCAAACATGTAAGTCTTACTTTAAATCTAACTAAAATTGTCTTAAGTTACATGAATTTCAATCAATTTATATCCTCCAAATATTTCTGATATGGTACTGAAAAGTTCTCAGACCAAGCCACTTTCCAAAACCTGACTAAATGACTAAACATCAATTTTTTTGTGAAGGGCTTTTTGGTCAGACTCAAGGAGTTTTCACAGCACCCACTTGTGTGTGTGTGTGTATAAACATCAATCATTTAAGTGACATTTTATATTTGTATTAATCTTTTACATACAGGGTAAGGCAAAAGTTATGCACCATAGGGATAATTTATTAAAAGCATAATTACACATCAAAATTTTATTTACTAGTTATTTAATTGTCATATGTGCTGTTTAAAATGTCCTCCTTCTTCTCTTTCAAAAACACATTTCAATTCTGTGCCTGCCTGATTCATTAACATATCGGAGTTTCCTCTGTCATTTCATTGCAATCCTATTTAATTCTTTCTTTAAGTTCCTCAATGTTTCTTGGGTGCATTTGATAAATAACTCTTTCCAAAAGACCCCCAAAGAGAAAAATCTAAGGGTGTGAGGTCTGATGATCTCAGTAGCCATTTAACAGGACCTATCAAAACAAATTCGATATGTAAAACATGATTAATTAATTAACCCCTATGGTGTGCGACTTTTGCCTCACCATATATATATATTTTAAAATGTTTTACTGGACTAGAGTTATCTCCTTTCTTTGCACTGATGATGTCAAGTGTCAATGTATTTATTATCACAATGACAGACTGGACATGTTTATAAAGCTAAGAGAGGAAAAATGACTGAAAGAACAGAGTACAACAATAATTGAAAAAAAAAAAAATTAAAAATTCACATGTGAAAATGTTCTAATAATAATAATGCCTTAACAAACTATCAATTTCATATCTTGTTATTTTCAATAGCATGGAAAGACTAGTCAGAAAATCAATCCCGTTTTAACATTTGTTGTCATACCTATATTTTTACTATTATCATATTCATGTACTTATCTCTGTACCTAAAAGGTGTATAAAAATTTCTATACTCTTCTGAAAAACTGATCCTAATGTAATACCTTTCTATTTATGAATTGGTTTTTCTTAAATGTCATGTCACATCAGTTATTTAAGCCATGGCTGGAAAATGAAATACCATGGAATTTGGACATGCCTTGCTGATTTCACTTTCCATGCCAATATGCATTACATAACCCACACAACTTGTACATTAGGCAACCAGTCTAAGAAAATTAAAATTTTGAATTTCAAGCTGTGGAAACCACATGACTATCTTTCTCAAGAACACATGGTAATTCATTAGATAAAGAAAAGGAATCTGTGAAGAGCCATGACTTTTAAAATGCCATGTCCCTTCAGGACATGGCATTTTAAAAAAATCAAAAGTATCTACAAGTATTTCAGTTCATTTCTTGCATAACTGTTGATTCTATCTTGGATACATTTAATCTGAAATGCCAATCACATTAATTTCAGATTGAATTCTAACATTTCCATAATGCAAAGAAATAAGGTACATCTTCCTGTACAGTTAAAAAGTATGTACAAGTGACAGAAAGAAGGAATTCTTCAACTATTAGATGAAAACAGCACAGAAGATAAAGAAGTAAACAAGATTTCAAATTGCATTCAGTGTCTTTGGAGATTGTTATTCATAGATGTAACTATATACATTTCAATCACAGAAGCACTGATGATAAAAATATTGCCAAAATCCATTCCTTTATTTTTGATTTTGTGCTTAGTAATGAAATAATTATAATGGAAATGCTTCATCTAACACTTAAAAAAAATGACAAAAATGTTGATATATGTTCTGGTAAATATATGAATTATTTTCAAGAGTTTCAGGTAAGCAAGATGCAGTAACTTTCAACTTTTGCCTATTTAAATTGAACTCTAATGTTTTAAATAAACCAATAAAGAAATAAGAGAAACATTTGTTATTTGATTAATAAATGAGGCAAAAATATTTAAAAATGATTTGGCACTGTGAGGTGATACTGAAACATTCTGAGCATGGCCAAAAAAGAATTTAAGAAAATGTTTGGTCAGATTTTTGTAAGTGGGTCAGCACAAGAACTTTATCAACACCTATATATATATATATATATATATATATATATATATATATATATATATATATATATATAGGTAGGTGTGTGTGTGTGTGCTGGTGATAGTAGGATGTACAATAATTCTGCTTGCCCCTCCCTTAGTTAGCACAACCTTTACAGCCTGCCAGTATCTCATAAATAATGGACTATTCCATTTTGATTGCATGGAAAGACATACCAGAGACGCTAATTGGTTTCAGTGAGAAAATGAAAGAAATAAGGGAAGATAGAAGTGTTTAATGTCTGTTTCAGTGAAACAGAAAAGTTCCTAATTTCAAAGGTTTTCATTTGTACCCCCTTACTTTTTAAAATAATAACCAGCATTCATATTTACAATTGTTATTGCAATATTTTGTTAAAGTTGTTAAGCTCAAATATTTAACAATGTGAGAGGAGAATTTCTATAGATATTTTATTGTCATAGAACTTGCCATGAGCTTCTTATTCAATGATTAAATGAAGTATTAAGAAGATTCATCATAAAATTTAAATAGGGAAACCATGAGATATTTCAGAGATATTTCTAGTGTAGAATAATATCCAAACAGATATGGAGATAATAAGATAGAGTGGAAAACTATCCAGCTACGCATTTCACCCCTCAAAGTAGGTGTTCTCGCTGGAATGAAAAACAAACCCATGTGTAGGGGAAAAAGGTGTTGGACTATGGAGAAGAAGTATGCTTCTCAAAAATTGCAGCCAGAGAGTTGATATTTTTTTTGTATTGAAGCCACAAACATCTGCTGGATTTGTAATTTAGCTTGCATTGAGCAGATCTGTTTTTTTTTCCTATTAGTCAGTATGCCACATTTTATGATGATGGGCGATATTGTGAACTTATGTCAACTAATGGAAGATTCAGTAACGGAAAATTCGATAATTTTGAAATAAAAGTCGATTGAAAATTGATTTTAGGACCATTCTGGAGTGGGGACTAGGGGCTAAAACTTAATTTATTTACTTACTTTTTTTTATTAAAATAATAATTTGAAAAGAAGATACAAGAACTTAACTTTAACTTAGATAATCGATTTTATTTGCTTGAAAAAATACTTTAAAAATAATGGAGAGGGAGGGCTTAGCCCCCTAAATCCCCTCCAGAAAGTACGACCCTGGTATTGTTGCAGTGGGGCTTTCTGGACTGGGACCCATTATTTTATTAGTTAATACTTATTTAAACGTATTTTAAAAATATAGAGGAGGAGGTATTAGCCCCCCAAACCTCACTCAAGAACGGCCCTTAAATCAATTTTCAATCGACTTTTATTTCATAGTTATTGAATTTGCCTACCTTGTCACTTAAAAGTTTAATATAAAGAGAACTTTTGTTGCAAAGAAAAGGGAGTTAACGGAGAGACAATCTAATTCAAAAATAAAGAAAATCTACTTCTTGGTGTCAACGTTTGACTAACAATGAAAACAAATTCGATACATTTAATGATGTCTAAAGCGGTTATTTGAAGTAATAAGCACCTGAGGCTGTCAAGAATTTGTTAGAGATCTAAAAGAAAAACAAAAAAATAGTTGCATTAAAAAAATGCAGATTAACATGTTGGCTTTACGATTTTGTTTTGAGTATTTTAAAAAGTAAACTCATAGGTTTAATTTTTTTATTTTATTGACTTTTCTCTTCAGTCTGAAAAAGCCCAGTTAAAAATAATATTTTGTTTGGAAAGTTTCAAATGACGCGACAAAATCAAATGCAGTGACTTTTTTTTTTTAAACAACTGAATATAAATATTATATATTCTGGAAAAAAAAACAAAACATTTATTATTTATTAAAGATTTATAGAGAAGCACTAAGTTTACTTTAAACAAACTTAACAATAACATTTTAAAAAAAAAAAAAAAACGAAATTCAACTAAGATCCTATTGATGTCGTTAATCGTTGTTTTGAAATTACTGAAAATATGTATGTTGGTTGCTGTTAACTTTAATAAATAATTTAAGATATATTTTCACGGAAATTGAAGAAAAATAATTTATTTGTGTTACTGCTTAACAAACCATGTGCTAAGAAGTGTTTTTATATGGCTACACAGAAAGTAGCATTATACATTTTAGAGTTAATTATTTATAATCAACTTTATAATAAGCCTACCTCTTTCTTGGTGGCATTGTCGGTCACTTCTAGCAGAGCATATAAGTCTAACTTTGTAATATCGTTACTACTAGGCATTATTCGAAAAATCCGCCCAACCCGAAATATGAAAAATACAACACGGCAACCCGGTTACAAGCGGAAGTGAATAGCAGACAATTGTTATTTTCACATTAGAGAGTTACTCTTAGTAACATAGAGCTACGGAGTAAATAAAATAAAATTTCATTTATATTATTTTATTTCTTAAATAGTAAATAAAATATTTTTTAACGATTAAAGAAACAAATATATTCTAAAAATGTTTTTGTAAAGTTCATATATTTTTTTAATTTCCATATTTCATCTGATCTCGTCAATGCACACGTGATGTTCAAGTCTCGTTCTTTCTGATTTTCCTGTTCCCTGTGTGACAGGTATGTACTTTATCTTCATATTTTACACTTTGAATTCATTTCAAAATTTGGGTTTAAACACATAACTATTACTTAACATTGTTGGTAAGAGTCTTTTATTTTAAAATACAAGCCTATTTATATGTTTTTGTGTTGTTTAAATGCATATTTATCGAATCAAACTTGAAGCTCCGATTTGTTTTAGGCTTCTAGCGCCATATTGATGCGAGGCGTAAGATTTGAACACGTTTTTACTTATCGTTACATGAGATTTTATATTCCGTACGCTGTTGTTAAAAGCAATATAGATGGAGTTGTTTTCATTTTGTCTTTATCTATTACCGTCAGTTATTTTTATGGATCTATAATGATAATTTTTATAACTTTATAATTACTTTGAATTTTCAATGTTCAATGCACGTGTAGCCTTTTTAAAAAGCAATGCCGGTGTCTTCTACTTAATATTTTTAACATTGTTACCCTCAATATTTATCATCATGACACTTATGAAGCCAATTGAAACGTTTACATATTTTATATTTTCCGGATGTTTTCACATCTTTTTAATTATTATATCAGTTTTTGTTTATTTATTGCTATTTTCTCTTAAATAAAATTCTAATGAGTTATACTCTGTTAAAAAAAATCTTGGTGATGAAGATATAATTTTAAAATTTAAACCCATGTCTGTCTTCGAATATAATAATTGCATTTAATATTTCAGTTAAATTGTCATTTTTTTTTGCTTCATACATTTGAATTCATTTTCACTTTTCAGTAATAAAAAAAAAAAAAACTCGTTATTTTCCTATCATTTTATTTTCTTAAAATTTAACTTTTAAATTCGTGCCCATCTCTCGAACCTTTGTGACAAAATTGTATTAATTCATAAACAAAAAAAAGTATGACACTTTCAATAGCACGTTGTCTCGGAACAAAATGTTCTTTTTTTTTGGCTTTTGAAATTATCTTTTAGATTTTTTTTTTTTTTTTTTTTTATCGCTGGATAAAACTTAGATTTTTTTTCTTTGTGTGTGTATGGGGGATCCAAAGTTTTTTTTTTTTTTTTTTTTTTTTTTTTTTTCAACGTCAGCAGCAGAGATTACTCTGAATATGCTGTTCGTTTTCGACGTGTAATTAAAATTGATTTAAAATTAACATTGAATATTTCTGTCTATATTTCTGACATGAGTTATGGACACTATTTACATTGCTCGTACTATCATCATCTTTGTTGCTCCGGCCTTCTTCAGGTGGTTTGAATGTCGAACTGAACCCTTTATTTTCTAGGGTAGACTGTTGTAAGATAACTGATTTCCATTAGACATCGGTTATCTCCTGTTAATTCCCCTTCTCCATTGGGTCCTGTCACTGGATCTAACTAACGCCTTTATCCACTGTGCCATGTGTCCTTGAGGACATATGTGTATAAATTTCTGGGTATTATAAACCTAATGTTTTCAGCAACCATTTTTACCGGTGCTCATATTGCAAATTTTCCTGTTATCATTGCTTTTCTCTGGCACTCCTCATTACTGATTCCCATATTGTATTCATTTCTATGCTTGATTTGGCTCGGGAGATTTTTGTGGCCTAGCATATTTGCTGATTTTTTGTACGAATTTTCCAATGATGTTCTATGATTTCAACCTGATCCCACAGAGGGCGGTGATTTCCCTTTCCTCTCCATATGTGGTCAGCCACGCCTGATTTTTCCACTTCCCCTGTCTCTCCTTTATATTTCTATCTGCAGCTGCAGAGGATGGAGTACACACAATCTTTTCTCATGTTTTCCTCTGTGTGTGTGTGTGTGGGGTGGGGGGTTCTTACTCAAGAGGGGTATCTGTGAAGTGTCGTCCAGCTCTTGAAGGTTGTCCTGATATTATGTGGGCTGCAGATCCTTTGTATTTTCTCTGATAACCCCTCCACATGAGGTAGGTAGACTGTTTTCTTAGTGTTGTCCTCCTCTTGTACCCGCCTATCCAAATATATTGGGACTCTTGAATATTTCCTGTGAAATTTCAATTGTGTTTAATGTATGACGTTTAATGTCAAGTTTTAAATCAATTATGCATTAGAGGATTTTAAGTTGTTATAGTGGGAATATTTAGAATTTAAGTTTCTTTGCATTAGCATCATTGAAAGACAAATATTGATATTTACATTCAATAACAATATTGTGCGTATATTCTTGGAAGTCGTGAATCCTCTACAAAGCTAAGTATTAAATAACTGGGTAGAATGTGCTCTATGGGTTAGCTAGCAACCAGTCTAAGGAAAATTCTGAATTCCAAATTGGAGAAGGCAGTATGGGATGACACCAACTTTCCAAAGAACTGGCAGTTCACAGATAAACAATCATAACTATCCAGGTTATTTTTTTGTATGTCCTGAAGAGATGTATTTTAAAAAAATGGTAAAATTAAACTTTGTTCTGCTTTCAGATAACTTATTTAGACATTCCCCTTTTTTATTCCAGGTATTTATTGCAAATAAAGATGAAGACCATCAAAGCTGATCAGCTTATAAAGATCCCTCAGGGAGTATCTGTGCGGGTCAAATCTAGGGAGGTGGAAGTGACTGGTCCTCGCGGCAAGCTCAACAGAAGTTTTCGCCATCTCTTCATCACCATCACACAACCCTCTCGCAACTACATCAAGGTAGAGAAACAGTTTGGTAAGAGGAAGGAACTGGCTGCAGTACGCACTGTATGCAGTCACATTGAAAATATGATCAAGGGTGTAACAAAAGGATTCAGCTATAAAATGAGGTCGGTGTACGCTCATTTCCCCATCAACGTTGTTATCCTAGACCAAGGCAAAGCAGTAGAAATTCGTAACTTCCTTGGTGAGAAATATGTGCGTCACGTGGACATGTTACCTGGAGTCGCCTTTTCTGTTTCTCAAGCCCAAAAGGACGAGTTCATTCTTGAAGGAAACGACATCGAGCTTGTGTCTCGTTCTGCTGCACTCATTCAGCAGTCCACCTCTGTGAAAGAGAAGGACATTAGAAAATTCTTGGACGGAATCTATGTGTCAGAAAAGGGCACTGTTGAAGAATAAATGCCACATTGTATAGTGTGTGGATAACACAATCTGCCATTGACAAATAAATTTTTAAAAACACTGCAGGTTTTTCAGCATTTTAAGTTTGAAAAAAATTGCGATTGACATATGCTAAGGCTTTTGATTTGCACATTAAATGAAACTAGAAATATAAGTTAGAATGTTCAGTTTAATTGCATATTGTAATTTAAAATTAAAAATGGGTTCATGTATAGTTATATCCACCTTTCTTTTAGTTATTGTCTCAATTATTCAATAAGTCTTATGACCTGTCCTAAAATAAATAAATAATAATAATTTAACTGATGCTAACATTTAAGTGTTTAAAAAAAATGTTTTTATTTGGCTCATCAAATTTGTAACTCTTAAGCCTTAGTATGTATGAATATTTTTATTTTTTCAAATGAAAATGTCATGTTTTAGACAATTGCAAATTGATTAGTATTATCAGAATACTTGACCCTGAAAAAGAAATGTTTATAAAAAAAATTTTAATTTTTTATTTGTTAGATTTGTCTTCAAAAAAAATTTTCAAAATAAAAGCATCTTTATAATCCAAAGACATAGATTTTGCAAATTTACACAAAGGAAAAATAAGCTCTAGCTTTTTGTTATCAATGCAGTTTTAAGTTTTAATAATTGAGTTTATTAAACAAATGAGTTAATTCATAATTTTAATGTATTAAGTTACTACTTTGATCACTCTTTAAGATACAATATTTTTCTTTTACAGTTTCATAAGGACTTGTCTATTTCCAAAAGTAGTCCATAATAGAGTAAAAAAATCTTGATTCTCATCCTGAAATGATTTGTTCCGTTTAATATATTTTTAAAATTTACTTGGAGAAAGGCTACATTTACCAAGTATTTTGAATTTACCATTGGTGGGTAAATAGTTGCAAAATGATTCATCTGTGCATTGAATTTATCTTTTGCACTTAATGCAAAGAGCATTGTTTGCAGCAAAATATTAAGACTTTTTTCACTTTTTATGTTATATGTCCATATTAAATATCTATTCTTTTGAGGTGCTAAAGTATGGTACAATCAGTTTAATTTAAAATTAAATTTTCAAACATTGAATTTTTTTTCTGTAAAGGATATGATCTTAATTGATAAAATTAGTATATAAACTTTAATCTTTCCTTATAGAGACACAATTCTCTTGTGGCGACTAGTTTTTATTTCAAATCATTTTAAATTGCCAATATTTTGACAACAGCCATTTCTTTTTCTGCATTTTCAGAGCTGACAATTTCATGATGTTTTTCAAACTTGTTACATTCAGAGTTGTCTCCCTACACATGTCAAAATAGTTGCATGACACTTGTCAATTTGGTGAACTTGAAGTCTTTCACAAAAACTTCTATGTTGAAATATCATAGAAATTAACACTTAAAAAAAAAAACAATTGCACCTTGTAAAGCAAGGTCTGATCTTTTAATAATCAAATGATTTCATATCTTTGTGCCCATTGGTGTATACAGATTGAAAACTGTTGTAACTGGTTCATTGAAACCTATTGCTGACTAGACATTATCAATTGAACCCCCATTTTAAATCTAACTTGTTTTATTGGAAATTAGTTTATATTTTCTTTAATGTATTTTAAAACTTT